AAATGATCAGATGTGGCCTCAGATTTGGGGTATGCCAGTTTTTGGGTGCCCAACTTGATCGTCCTTGGATTGAATCGTCAGAGGCGGTGAACTCCTATAACTACCATTGGCTTCAACACTCACAAAGCCACCCCAATATCCTCTTTGAAATCCCTTCTTTAAACAACTGCACCCACGCACCATCCCTGAACACCTCCTTGTGGCACGGTACACCACAGCAGGGTCGCTGCCTCTGTTTCCCTACTGGTTCCTCGCTGCTCCACCCAGCTTCCAACACCTTCTGGATTGAAAGGACCTAGCCAGAGAGCTCGGTCACAGAACAGTTCCACGCCTACCAACGTGCCCAAAGTCCAAAAGCAACACAAACATGTCCCTTCTCTCCCTCCCAGCCCATAGCAGCTGAGCTGGGCTCTTCCTTTTTTAACTCCTCCCTCGAAGACACCAGCTTCAGGTGTTGCAGGGCAGTGCTGATTGGGCCCCCAGCAGCCCATTAACTCTATCATGCCTTCATACAGCCCATCACACTTACCTTTGCTAAGATACCCACGAATCACTCCCATCTGGTGTTGGTCACGCTGGCAATCTCCTGTGATCTCTAAGGCCACTGGAGCCATTAACTCATGTTGTCACATCTGCCTCCACTGTTCCCGCCTCGTCTCTTCCCCTTTGTCTTTGATTAGTCCCCTGTTGCATACTGTCTAAATCCTAGATTCTGAGTCCTCTAGTGCAGGGGCCATCTTTGCGTTATTTGTTTATAGTGCCTAGCACAGGGGTGGGCAAACTTTTTGGCCTGAGGGCCACATCAGGGTTCCAAAACTATATGGAAGGCCGGGTAGGGAAGGCTGTGCCTCCCCAAACAGCCTGGCCCCCACCCCCATCCACCCCCTCCCACTTCCTGTCCCCTGACTGCCCCACCCCCCATCCACACCCTCGCCCCCTGACAGGCCCCCCTGGGACTCCCACACCTATCCAACACCCCCTGTTCCCCATCCCCTGACCACCACCCCCCAGAACCTATGCCCCATCCAACCGCCCCCTGATCCCTGTCTCCTGACTGCCCCCCAGAACCCCTTGCCCCTTATCCAACCCCCCCGCTCCCCGCACCCTTACCATGCTCCTCAGAGCAGCATGTCTGGCAGCCGCGCCGTCCGGCAGGAGCTCACAGCCCTGCAGCCCAGAGCGCTGGTGGCACAGCGAGCTGAGGCTGCGGGGGAGGGGCCGGGGGCTAGCCTCCCTGGCTGGGAGCTCAAGGGCTGGGCAGGACGGTCCCGTGGGCCGGATGTGGCCCCCAGCCGTAGTTTGCCCACCTCTGGCCTAGCACAAAGGGGCCTAGTTCTTCTCTGCAATCTCCAGGACAGGTCCTACATCAAATAAATAATAATGGGTGTTCTGCACTTCCAAAAATCCAGAGTCTGGATTTAAGAACCTAATTTTAGGCCCCCATTTTTGCAAATCTCAGCCCACATCGCCTGGGAGAGTGTGTGTGTGTCCCTGGAGATGGGGAGGTTGCAAGCAATCAGCAGGGACTGGGAACAATTCACAGGCAAGGTCTCATTTCCCAGGGCTGTACTAGGCCTCAGTTCCCACAGGGAGTTTTTCCCACAGCCTCTGCAGGGAGGTGGAGCTTATCCCTCCCCCTGACCCCCATGGAAGAGACAGAAAATCTAAACCAGAGGAGTCTTTCCCAGAAAGGCTGTTTCTGAATCAGGAATTGCAGAGAATTTGTAATCTCGAAACCCCACTGGGTGGCCTGTGTGTGGAAACCTGGATCTTGAGATACAGCCGGGCAAGACAAGCCAGTGAGCTGAAGACCGCCTGTGTCAGGATCAATGCTACTCAAATTAACATCAGAAACAGACATGGCTCTAGCAGCACCTCTAGCTCTCCATGGACCTGGCCCAAGTCTCACTGAAGTCAGTGGAAAGTTTCTTGGGAGTTGAATCAGGTCACGAGTGGGGAGGCACGAATGATATCTGGCAGTGGCGCATTGAGAGAGATGCCACAACGCAGGTATCTCTGTCTCTTTGCTCTGGGGCTGTGTTGGAGATGCCCAACTGGTCTAGAACTCATTCAGCTCCGCTAGCAGTCTGGCGACTGGGGCAGCGGTACCCAGGGCAAAGGTGGTCCTACAAAGGTGGGACTATCAGTGTGTTCTGCTTCTCCGCCAGGGACTGCACCAGAATCAGCCATTCAGCAGAGACCCAACGAGAAGGGACTATCTGCGAGCTCTGCTAGCTGGGGGCCGCTCAGTACTTAAAGGGGGCAAAAAAACCTGGGGGCTCCTATGCTTTTCCACCAAAGTGAAAGTGACAGCGTATCTGCCTGCCCCTCCTGTTCCCCCACATTCGTTCTGACCCCTCATCTCACCTCTGCTCCCTCGTGCCCCCACTTGTTACCCCCACCTCTGTTCTGACCCCTAGTCTCACTTCTGCTCCTCCTGCAGCCACAGGGGTTCTTCACCCCCACCCCCACCTCTGGGGGTGGGGCAGCTGCTCCAGGAACCTCTTCACCCCAGCGCAGGCTGAGTGCTGCAGGGAGGGAGGGGGGGTGGAGCAGCCTGACCCATTGCTGGGATGGGGGAGGAGCAGACTGACCTATTGGGATGAGGCGGAGGAGGGGACTGACCCATTACTCACAGGAGTGGGGAGGAGGGAGGAAGAGGGAGCAGAGCCACTCTGAGCTGCCAGGCTTCTTCTGCTCCCTCCTCCCTCCTGTTGAGAATGGTGTCAGCTCCTGAGGGGCGGGAGAGAGCTTTGCCCAGCTCCTGCCACCAGCAGGGCCAGGCTCGCCCAGCAGAGTGCCCTCACGGAGGGGCGCCATCCCACTCTGGTGTCTCTGGGCTGGGCGACAGGGAGCGCAGTGCCTGGCTTCCTGCTCAGGGGTGAGGGGCGGAGACGGGGGAGCATCGTGCCAGTGCCCCGGGCCCCCCAAACCGCATGTGACGTCTGCGTGAACAGAGTAAAATGGGAGGGGCGGGGCCCCGGCAGACATGACGTGCCAGGGTCCCACGTTTCTGTGGACGGGCCAGTTCGCACTCCTCTTCCATTGTTGCACTGTCTGTGCTGTATCGGGGAGTAGCAGAATCTCTGCTCTGGCCTCCGCTCTGAATCAAAGGGAGGGAGAGAGCAGCCCATTGTCCATTGTGTGCCCGCAAGGATGAAGAATGTGATTCAATAGGAGGCTGGAATACGTGGTCTGGGACATCTGGTTTCAACATGTGGCAAAGACAAAGCTTTCAGCCGGCCCCTGCGGAGTAACTACCTCACACAACTCTGCAGCCAACTGGGAGGGTAAACAAGTTGTTAACCCTCCTACCGCATTAACAGCACAAGGCCAGTACACAAAGCAAAGGGCATGCTGGATCCAGGGGTGAAAAACGGAGCTGCTATGGAATTATGTCACAGCTGCTCCAGGCCCAGCCTCTCCCTGCAGGAAATGCTGTCAGAGCAGGGGCAGGAGGGGGCTCAGAGCTACAGTAGTGCAATCCAGTCCCTGGAACGGTGCGGGAGTGCCAGCTCTAGGGAGGGACCCAGTAACTCCATCCCAGCCTCTCCCAGTAGGAGTGCTAGGCCCTATACTAGTACTAGGCTGCTATTGCAGGAGTCAGGAAGGGTGTCAACCCGCAGTGGAGAATGTAAGTGCCAGGGATCACTGGATGTGAGGACGCAGCAGGAATGAGGATATGTTCGCTGCACAGTATACAGCACTCACCAAGACGTTCATTTTTATTGAAAATTACGGATCAATCCTAACTGTCAAGAGAATGCAAACACATGAACCGGCAGAACTCAATCCAAATGGGGACCAGATGCAGCCCCTCTGGATTTCCAGGGATGTTATTGTTTTAATACGCTGCTGGACCACATGACCCGAGTGCTATTTTTAACCTGGGAATAACTCCAAGCAGGCCCAACTTTCTTTCGTTGCTGTAATTTATTCTTGACATTTCCCTTTAAAAACACGGGTCTTGTGCCAGGCCCGTCTGCCTCCCAGTGCAGCATCATGGTAACTGCTCTCTCCTGTCTCCTCCTAAGCCACATGCTGTTCTGGAGTGGCGCATGGTGCATTGATTCTCCCTGGAAGTAATAGGTACCTACAGCTATACTCATAGCCCCTGCTTCCCGGAATTCTGCTGCTTAGACAAGAAAATTAAAAACTACCTCCTGCTCCCACCATGGGACATTTCTTTGGGGACCTGAAGTTCCCCTTTCCTTCTGTTTGGCCCCAAGCTCCGCCCCACCAGCAAAGGGTTAGCTCCACACCGATGCTCCGCCCCTCCAGCAAAAGGATAACTCCGGCCCCAACCAGGGTATTTCAAAGACAAGGGAAACGCAGAGGGGAAAAAATTGTAAGAAGTGGGAGAGGGGGAAAACCTGTGACAGCTGCTAGTGGAAGCTCCTCAGCTGCAAATGTTGCCACTGTTCAGAGCCAAACTGCACCACCTCTTTGACCACGGATAGATGCGGCTTTCCAGGAGGGTGACAGAGAACAGGCCAACTCTGCATCTCTTTGTGGGGTCCATATTACCACAATGAATGTGGGGAGGGAGAGTGGAGGCTGGCATCACTGTAGCAGCTTCTTCACAGAGTGGTTTCGACGCTCTTGGTGCCTTATAAGGGGACCCCACTGACTGGGAGATGAGGTGCTTGTACCCCTGTGCTCTGCTACATGGGAGGATGGCTTCCACAGCAAAATGTATATGATCTCAAGGCCTGATTGCCCGAAGAGCTAGGGAGCTTGAGCTCCAGTTGAAATCAGTGAGAGCTGCAGACACTCAGCACCTCTGCAAATGAAGCCTTTAGTGAGGGCTGTACAGACTCAGCTCTCCAGCATCAACTGAACCCAGGGGGACCCAGGAACACCCAGGAACTGCAGCCTCAGAGCTATCAGGCCTCGTGGAGTCTGCACATGCTCTCGGTGCTCCAGGCCAAGCACTGGTAAATCCAGCCCATGAGCTACTCGTATCCCTCTCTCAGGGAAGATATCAGTGCAGGCAAACGTGACGGTTGTTTGCATTTATTGTCGATACAAAGGGAGCATGTGGAAAATGAGATGAGATGCAGGCCTAGGGCTCCAGGCAAGTCCCCAGCATGGCCCTTCGCACCAAAACATTTGAGCACCTCGGCCTCCAGCACTCTCTAACAGGGTTAGTGTTGCTGCTCTTAAGTGGGAATGAGGCCTGTTGCAAGTGTGAGGCCAGCAGGACTCGTCTTCTGGCAGGAGTGTCGCAGCCCAGTGCTGGGGGGAAGTGGCCATCACCTGCTGGCATCCCTGGAAAGTAGCTGCAAAGTTCCTCTGGGGAAAGGAAAGCAAAGGCATCTTGAGTCACCAGGGACTGGATGTGTTTCATACAACCAAGAGGGACTTGTTGAGCCATCTTGATGTCCTAAGGGTATGTCCCAGACCATAGTGCTGGGGAAGAGATAAGGAACAGGCAGGGAGGATAGTGTCATGGCCAATCTGACTCCGGGAAGCTTCATCCTTGCATGAATGGCTGGGAAGGCAACTCCAGCTGGGGATGAAGGGCTCAGAGGAGGTGCGGGAGCAGAAGATAAGGGGACACAGGCCTAAATTCAGCTCTTGGTTACATCAGTGTAAATCCAGTGACTACAATTAAATTACTCCAAATTTATGCTGGTGCAACCAAGGGCAGAATTTGGCCCAAGCTCTCTTACCAAGGCCGATAAAGAATTCTTTGCTTTTGGTGCTTTAAACCTGACTCAAATAACATCAAATGCAGCAACGTAGAGATAGTGGGCCTGATTCTGCCCTCCCCGCTGTAAACCAGGGGTGACTCCATTGAAGGCATGTCAGAGTAAAGCCTGTGTGAGATGAGTCTCAGTCCCAGTGGATTCTGGGGTGGGGACTGTGGCGAGAGGATTGGGGAGGGGACATTATTTTGTACCATACGCACAGTCCTGCCCGAACATTCACCTGTTCTCTCTTGGGACTGAGCCATGTAGAAACAACACTGAGATGGCTCCATAACCTTCCTCACTCTGGAGGCAGAATGATCTTTCCTGGGGGCATTTGCTATGTTGCTTTCTTATTCTGAGAGCAGGTCAGTCCAGGGTTATTACACTCCCAGGGTTGAAAATGACTGGAGGGCAACCAAGCTACAGCTCATGTGGAATTTCCAGGAGTCAGTCTGAACATTAGCACTCCAATGCCAACTACCTTATTGCTAGAGCTGGTCAAAAAGCTGGAAAAACAGTTGTGCAGGAAATTTCACAACTGGTTCTATTTCAGGGGGGTTGAAATGGGCCCATTTTCCACAAAAGTTTTGCCGATATTTGTTTATTCAACCTTTTATTGAAAGCACTAAGGAACATTTTTGGTAAACAGACACAGTCAATAAAGATTTCAGTCCCAATTTCCATACTGGTTCCTAGTAAAAAATTATTGGTAAAAAATCTCACAGAAACTTTTGTGAAAAATGGAAAATTATGACAATTAAAAAAAAAAGTTCCAGTTTTGAATAAAGGCCTTTTTTTCCCCATCAAAAAGCTTTCTGTGTGTAAACTTTTGACCAACTCTACTTCGGATGTAGTGTATTAAACTCCCTACTCTAGGGAAACATTTTTCAGAAGCTAAAGCTTATTGCAAAGAAAGTGAGCGTCATAGAGTCAGTGTCCATTTCGCTTGTGAAAAGTACCTATGTCCTGCCTGTAAACTCTGGGAGTTGGAAGGGAAGTGGGGGGTCCATCTATCAGAAAAAGAAGTGGAATGGTCAGCCGGAAGACACGAGTGTAACACTTTCCTGCATATCTCTGCAAATTAGTTCCAGGAAAATGGGGAAAAGCCAAATGGAATTTGCTCACTAGTGTCATGAGTTTCCATTTGTTCTCAATCCACTTAAAACAGGTAGGTCTGCAGGGCTCCAAGGAACGAACCACGCAAGTCCAGATGTACTGTGGGAAGCAGATGCATCAGGTGTGGAAGGCATTAGAGGTTGTCATACATGCGTAAAGTCTTTTCCAGCTGCTGGCTGACTCTCTGGTAGAAGATGATCTGTTGTTTCAGGTAGGACTGCATCATTTTCTTAAAGTCTGCTATGCGCCGCTCATGGAAGTGGTTCATCTCTGCCTGGAGGGAAAAGCCAACCACGCGGCAGCGCTTCCGAATCCCATCTGCCTCCTCCTGATCCATCTTCCCCTCGTCACTCATTCGCTGGCTCTCCTTCACCTTGGCAAAGGCTCCTGCGAGGGGGAGAGAAATGAGACACCAAGGGTTAGTAAGATGTAAATAGCATGTCCCAGCGCTCCCTCTCTCCAAGCTATACTGTGTCCTCCTCTTCCACCCCAGCATCCCAAGAGAGAGACAAACGCTCATTGTGACCAGCAAGAGAGCTACAGATGCACCATGGCCTGGTTCTGTTCCCCCTTAGCTGTAGAACCAGGTCTTTCCCTTCAGGTTCACATACCTACTAATGCCTACACATTCCTATGGTCCTGGAAAAATCCAGCACTCCCTCTGCCAAGCCACACGAACGATGCCCTCCCTCTTCATCCTTAGTCCTTTCCAGTCTCCCAAACATCTGACTTCACGGGACTGAATGAAAACAGGCAGCTGGAAAAACTGCATCAATCCAAGGCCCTGAGTGTCGCTTCACTATACAGCCAAGGCACTGGGAAGGCACCAGCTCACTCAAACGTTCCACAGAGAGCTCTGGACAGCAGTGCTGGGAATCACACCCCGGGGGACAATCTCTGAGTAAGCATTGCTCCCTGCATAAGAGAAGGAATGGATCCACTGAAGGCCCTGTGTGCTTTAGAGAAGCACAGTACTCTAGCACCATTTGCTCTGGCCTTTGTGGATCAGACGGAGGCTACATTTTCCTCAGGGTATGACACAGTTTGGCCCTGCCACGTGGCTAGATCGACGTGTGTTAGAACATGGCTGTGTCACTACCAGGTTTAACAGCCCACTGCTTTCAGAACATACATGGGGCTTTAGTGTATCCTGCACCATCCAGTACATAGTGCATCAGGTTGATTATCAAAAGACCTGTGCTCCGTCTCCAGTTTTCCCACTGTCTTGCTGTGTAACCTTCAGCAGGTCACCTAACGTCTATTTACTGTACCTACGTGTGAAGAGGGGATAATCATTCTTACTCACCTTTGTAAAAAGTGCTTGGAGAACTACTGATGAAGTGAGCTACATAAGGGCCTATTATTCAATTATCATAGACTAGGAATAAATCTACATTGTAGCGACCCAGAACATCAAAGCTGCTAGAAGAGGCAATAGATTAACAGAAGGAAGGAGCATGAGGTTTTATAGTGTCTTAGAGATCTCAATACACCCGACAAAGCAAAGGGTTCAGTTCTAGTAGTGCAGTGACCACAAAGGTAAGATCTGCACATAGCAATAGCTTATACACCTTTGGATCTGTGGCAGGAGGGATGGGAAAGAAAGATATTCCTGCTGCTTCTTCCTCTTATTGCAAAATGACATGGGGCACTTATCTTTCTCCTGGACAGCCACCACAGAAGGATAGAACAGACCCCAGTTCATAGATTCATGGATTTTAAGGCCAGAAGGAACCATTATGATCATCTCATCTGATCTCCTGCATAGCACAAGCCAGAGACTCTCACCCAGTAATTCCAGCATCAAGCCAAATTCTCCTCTGAAGGACAATCTCTATAGCAGTGCAGCATCCCCCGCATATGCAGTGTGATCAACGGGTACAGCAGGCCCAAAGTCTGCAACAACCTTTCATCTCCCAAGTGCCATGTTCAAACATAGATTAGGTCGCCTACTCTAAATACAGTAGATTCATCATTGTCCATAGCGGAAGTTTGTCCATATCACAACAGGCTTTTCTGCTAGATCCCACCATTCGGGTGGGCCTCTCAGGGACTGTTTAAACCTATTCCCAATCATATTAAACTCTGCTGATATAAGTCATTCATAAACCAAAATAAGATCATGCACAGAAGAAGGAGTTTGCATCAGTTTAATGTAACTGGTTAAAAAACCTATTTAAGATAAACTAGTGCAACTTTCTCATGTGGACAATCACTTGTACCAATTTTACATCAGGTTAACTCCATTGATTTCAGTGGAGCTACTGCTGATTTACACCAGTGAAAGTCAAAGGACATTGAAGTCCTGTGTGTTGTGTATTCTGCTGTGTTGTACCTGCTGTGTCTTTATTATTATGTATTCCTATAAACATGCACATGTGACTAAGATCCTCAAGGCAGGAACCAGTCTTATGTTTTGACACACTTCACCTGTGGCACAATATAAATAACAATTACCACAAAAACACCAAACGGTTTGTTATAATAAATAGATCAGGGCAGGAGAGGCCAGAAGAAGATCAGCACCGGCTGCTTAGTCAACACCGAGGTGCATTAGCAGAACTGTGCCAAGAACTGAATAGCAGGAACTGCATGTCAGAATGATGATGCACTGGCGGAGTTCTGTGGGGTCCCAGAGCAGGAGAACTGAAAGGTCAGGATTCAGATGTATTGGCAGAGCTGCGTGAAGGTAGCTTGCACAGCACCTGTGTGTCCTATGCTTGGCTTTAGCAATTGCTATCATGAACTTCCACGGGTACTCTATTTGCCTAGGCAAAAAAAATTAAAACCTCTACTGCCCAAAGAGCAAGGATTGCTGGGAATTAAAGGCTTAGGAGGACCAACCATGGCTTTTTGAGACCCTGTTTGAAATCTAACTCATGTCAGATGTCAGGGGAATCACATCAGCTCCTAACAGCATTTGATACAGTTGTGAAAAATGCTGCGTATGTCTTTGCACTGCTCCTCCAGTACTGCTGAGGAGCATTGTTCTTAAGGGATAAGCAATGTTTCCCCATATCTTATGTCCTATGTCATGCTCGTTCTTCCTCTCCTGTGCAACCCAATGTGCTCCCTAGTGTCAGAACTTGCCACAGGACCCACTCGCTGTGCTCCAGAATTTCATATTTCATTAAAAAAGGGGGGGGGGGGAGATTTTCAAAGCCACGAGAGGGGGAATTGGATGGGTGCCCAATTCCCGTTAATTTTAATTGGGTGTCCAAATCCCTGAAGCAGCTTTGAAAAACTCACTCCGAGTCTCTGGCCCTTACAGTTGTGAAGAAAACCTTCCAAAGGTGAACAGAGCTTAGCATAGCCAATGCAGGGTAGTGTGCTGAGTCTGCACACAGCCTGAAGCAGTAGCTCAGAGAAGTGTGAACTGGCTCATTTAAATGTCAACATTGTTAACTATTTCACTGCTGATGACTTTAGCAGAAACAGCCAGCTAGAGTGCTGATCCTACATTCAAAAACCCTTCAACCCTTCCTCAACTGCCAAAGCTCCCAGATTCTTCCCCAATGAGTGTTGAAATTCACCTGAGACTGCCATGGCATTTCCAGCCTGCTACATTAAACCACCACAGAATCAGGGCCCTTGGCACAGAAGTTAGGGCGAGTTTGCCACAGACTACATGGGGCCTGGCTCACATTCCCCCTCAGATGACCAATTAAAACACCTCACTCACCCTGCCCCACCAGCAGAGTCCAGCCATACTGCAAAGAGGGCCATCGGCACTTACATACCAAGTGGAAGGAGGGAGGGATTAGGCTGTGCCTTTACTCGGTGTGTTTTTACATGCAGATAGCTATCTCCATGTAAAATGGTAATAGAGACAAGGCCCTATGGTCTTTACCCCAATGGAGCTAGTTGCGGTAGACTCCAGCTGGAGGAGGAGGACTTAGTGTTGATCCCAGATATGGTTCATCAAGGTACAATTCCCTGTGCCTTTGTCTCCACTAGGATTTTACACCCAGTGAGTGATCTTGAGTTAGCGATCTCAAAGTAAAAACACACCTGTTTCTGCAGTGAACACATAGCACTACACAGATCAGGCCTGTCCAGGAATCAGAGGTTAAATTAATCCAAAGATTCACAGCACCTCCCCACCCTTTCCCAAAAATGGCCTCAACCCAACCCTGGAGGGAAGGCATCTAACTACAGCCAGAGTCAGGTTCACTAAGTCACCCAAAACCAGATCCAACACCATCCAGCTCCTCCAAACACCCTGCAGAGAGGGTCCCTGCCCAGCAGTACCGGAAAGAAGATGGACTAGATAACCAGATTAGTCGTTTCCTTTCCAACATCTAGGATTGCATTATCCAGAGCCCCTGCTACTAGGAACATGACTGAGCCAGAGGCTTTGCCCACCAAGTCTCCCGGAATGATGTTGGACTACCTTTGTGTTCACCTTCAGAAACCAGTGACAATGTGAGCATGTGACATGGCCTAATTCCTTAGGTAACTGGAGTGGTACACTCAGTATAAGACTGTGATGGGGTATACAAACCTCTCACGGGCTGGAAAGGGTTAACGAATTGGCGTGAGCACAATCAGCACCACCTGCTACCCCTGCAGTGGGTGTCAGCCTATAGGAAGAGGATGAAAGGGGACAGCTTGCTCAGGTATAGCTACCTAGGAAGGAGAGCAGAAAACCAAGTGTCTCACTTGGGGAGTGTAGCGGGGTAGTTACCCCACTCCGGCCCTGACGGGGTTAAAACAGCCCTGGCAAAGGGCTGCTCTGGGGAGCCAATAAGGTAGGCTGATTGGAGAAGCAGCCACAGCTGCGGCCACGCCCCAATCAGGCCACAGCTGGCCCTATAAAAGGGCTGTGAGGCAGCTGCTAACAGTCTCTCTCTCTAGTGGTGGAGACAGAAGGACTTGGCTGCCTGGGAGCTGAACAGGGTACTTGAGGTGGAGCAGGGCTGGGGGAAGGCCAGAGGAGCTGGGGAGCTCCAGCCTGGGAAACCCCCAGGCTGCAGGCCTTGCTGAAGGCCCAGAGCAGGTACTGGGGTTGCAGAGGTGCAGCCCAGAGTTAGGGAAAGGCAGCAGGTCCAAACCCCCCTTGCCAGTGATGAGTGGATTATAGACTGCAGTCTTCCCCAGTGAGCAGGGGCTAGATGATGACTAGCAGTAGCCACTGAGGCAAGGTGGGGATAGAGGGTTGGGGATTCCCCGGGGAAGGGAAACCCAGAGACTGCAGGGGGTACTGCAGAGGGCAGAACCCTGAGGGAAGGGGCACTGGGGTCCGGGAGGGACACAGGGGCCTGAGGCAAGCGGGACATCAGCCAGCAGAGGGTGCTCTGGAGCTGGAGACCTAATTCCCAGAACGACCAGCAAGAGGTGCCATGCCAGTGAGTCGTCGACTTGCTACAGGGAGAGAAGCCAGGAAC